CACACGCCAGGCATGCCCCACTAGCCCGTTTGCCTCCTTTGCCATTGTATTGAGCTCCTTGCCATTAGAATATTAGAAACCACCCTTACTATTGAACCCATCCGACTTGAGGAATGTGGACCATCAATATTTCCCTATACACGGATGATGTTGTTCTCCTTCATATCACAACCTGAGCAATGCGTTCCTGTAAACTACTGAGATCTTATAAGAACATTTGGTGGAGTTTTCAGTATACACCAATGTGGCAGGTGGGCGTGGTTTGCGTCAGCCTGCAGGCAGAGGGTGGTGGGAAAGGCTTGGTAGAGCGGCCACCAGGTGAGTTGACCCACCTCACCTGCTGACTGATTACCTAATGACTCTACCCTTTATCTTTGCAGTAGTGTGCTGGACCTGGAAGCTAGACGCTACCGGGAAGTGCCACTGAGAGCCAGAGTCCCTATTGTGGGCGCAGTTGTTGCTGTGTTGTGTCCAGCAATGCTCTAAAAATAAAAAGTGGTGTGTTCTGGGGTGTGATTGCTAAGTGTGCTGAGGGAAACCCCGTCTGTAAGCACACAACCCTGCCTAAAACACAACGTAAAAATTAACTGGTTGGAAGAGTGAATTTTATGTTGCTGGGTGGCTGATCTCAAATGCTGAATTTTTGCCATAATCTCCCAATTCAAAATTACAGAAAGGCCTGAAGTATCTTGGAGTAGTTCTGCCCAAAAGACATAGCTAATTCTTATTGAATCTTTCTTAAGTGTACTGAGGAAGGGAACAATTGAAAAAAATGGAGAAAACGATTCCTCTTTCTTAATGGTGGGTCAAAATAAATGCCCCATCCCAAACTCCCATCAATCGAGGCTCAAAAAAGGCCAATAGAAATCTCTTTCCAACAAACTCATTTACATAAACCAGGAGAAAGGTGGCAGGGTTAGGCGAATTACCATAATAAATCCCTGCATTAAAATTATTCAGGCAAGCGAATGTTAGGGAGCCCTAATGTCCTACTTGGTCAAGGCGGCGTAAAACAAGATGGAAAGTATGCCTGCTGAGACTCCCCCCCGTGGGTTTGCCTCCAAAATGAGTGATCCAGGCAACTTCTCTTCTCCAAGGACGCCAAGAAACCCCCTGCAAAGTTAAAAAGGTGGATAAACAATGTTAGGCTTTTAATTGCTTAAAAATATGGCGGCAAAAAAATTAGAAAAAAGCGGGCTGCAAGGTTCGCCAATGGAAAAAAAGACATTCTATTCATAAGCCGAATATTATCCCCCGTGAATCAATGCATTCTCCCCCCCAAATCCCCTTTCAAAGCGTGATCCTTTAACAATTTTGGAGGTAAAAAAGGTTTAGAGATTACTTATGAAAGATTAGTATAAGTTACAACAGTTTGCCACATTTACTCACTAAAACAAACAAGATTTTCTCCTATACACCACAACGGATCATTTTTTCTAGGGTATTTTGATTGTGCAGATTAGGAATTATGTCTTCAATGTATGCCTAACATTTGAGTCTCTTCCCGGAAGGTAATAATGATTTTAAGCTTTTTGTCCGGGTCTGCCTGAATCAAAAAAAGGCTTTGTAAATATATTTAATCCTGAGACAAATGGTTTATGCCCCATGGCAACCTTTGGAAAAAAATCCCCTGGGAGGAGGAGCTGGGAAAATCGCAGATTGGGGATAGATAATACGTGGGAGAGGAGGGCCTTAGTAGCGACCCGATCTTGTTCTATTAAGTGGCACGGGCACCTAGTTATATCCCAATTTAAGGTGATGCACAGGCTTCCATTATTCAAAAAGCCAAATTGCACAAGAATCTTTCCTACCAATTTCCTCTTTATGTGGCCGATGTAAACCTGCAGAGGGCTCCCTCTTGACGCACCTTAATGTTTGATCATAACATCGAAACTGTATCCATTTTGTGGTGTGACAATATTTAAAGTGGGTTTTCTGACATGAAGTAAAACGACTGTGTGCTTGAACCCTGTTCCAGAGATTGCATTATTTGAGGATTTTTCCCTTCGCTACTTAAACATCAATGTTTCGGTATCCGGCAGAGCACAATTAATGTAGAAATGGTAATCTGCAAAGAAAGTGATTCTAAAGACTCTGGAAGTCAGATAAGGCTGTGCCTCAGTTTAGAACAGACTTGGTTGAGTGAGCTCACTGGTAATTTTTACATACTGGAGAAAGTTCGATACGGCAAGATGGAAAAATCTTACCCAGGGACCATATTATGCAAAACCAACTTTTTAAATCAATTTGAAGATGTACTTTTGGACTCTGGAGGGCCTTATCAGGCAGGCCACAAGTGGGGAAAAAAGATGACTGCAGTCATGTTTTTTACCGGGCTGTTCCTCCCCATATTCTGCTGATATTTTTGTATTCAACCACCGAAGTTTTTATGCCGTGAATAACGCAAGCTTCGTGCAAGGCAAAAGTTACTGCTGGGGTTTTGTGGCCGGGGGAAATTGGCCTTGTTATGTTCGTATGTCACTTTTGTTAAACCATGCCTGGCAGTAAATAATGTTTTGTGGGTGTCTCCAATTAAAGCTGTGATGAATAGCAGCTTGTGAACAGAAAGAAGACACCCGTACTACTGTGGTGTTTGTTTGTAAAGATTGTAGCTTTGATTTATGCAGCACAGGCAGCTGCTGTGATTTCAAACTGTGTCACTATAAAGTTACTGAGTCTGTCGGGACTTTAATGTTGTAATATGAGGGACCAATGTGATGTTAGCCTCCTTTAGGAAGCCTACCAAAAAATACCCGGGAAGTAAGTCATGGTGATTTTTTTCTGATGCGTTTCTTGTGTAACTGGCTAACCGTGCAACCAGCTGGGCTAGCCTTTGTTGTTTGTCCAAGCTTTACTTCGGTCGGCTCTGTGTGTGTTACGTGTGTGTGTGTGTGCCCCCCTGTGTGTAAATTAGCTCCGATCAGTATGTGCACCCGGAGTTAACGATAAGCCTACTGTGAGAGAGAAATAGTTTTTCCAACTGCAGGACCTAGACCTGCTCTATTTGAAGAAGGGTCCTGAGAATAACTTTTTCTGCATGAGCCTATAACTTGATTGATTGGAGAATTGATTAGTTTGTAATATTGTGTAGCTTTGATGCTCACAGCTGTTTGGTGAGTCAACTGAATAATAAAGGTTTCTGATCATTTATTTAACGTTACTGGCAGTATGTATTCTGGACGACCATAAGTGGTGCAGTGTAAGCTCTTCTACTCTATCATCTCTATTGTATTATACAGACACTGGGCAACTGTTAAATGTCACATCAGCTACAGTCGTAAATGTCTGTGTGTGTATCTGCTGCCATTAGTACCACCATGTTGTGTTGGTAACCTCCAAGACTGTTTCCACCAACACATCATAACAGTATAGCCTGCAACGGAGGAGACCCCGGACATGCTTTTTTATTTTTATATAACGGGAGAGACTACATTATGAGCCACTGCTTGGTCTGTATATTTTACTGTGATTATTGTGTTTTTTACTGTATTATTTCCGTCTCGGATTCATATTATACTGTAATTATGATATAGCTGTATATATTGTACTGTAAATTTATTATACTGTTTGATATTATACCAGTATCTATACATGGCTTCGCCGTTACAAGTAACACTGAATGCTGCCTTGGTTTTAGCAGGTGACGCTGATGAAGCCAAGGTGTTCCTGGACCCATCAGAGGACAGAGACACATTCCAATACTTTATTATGTTGGAAGATAAATGAACATCATAATTACATAAATAATGAAGAGATATTCAGTATATAACGAGTATTGGTTAATGGGGCTTTACATAATTGGCACGCTTTTAACAAATATCTGAAAGTTAACTTGGTATTATCAGTTTCAAGTTAAATATCAGACTCATGAAATAATGACTACATGTACCAGTACAGTTGGGTTACTCCCAGCAGTTTTTCAACCCACGATAAACAAAGATTACTTTATTAGATGAAGTCAATTCCTTCCCAGTTTGTTGACAATGTGTAAGAGCCAGGATAAAAGTATTGCAGGAGGGTCTGGCCCTCCCATATGGTTAAGTTTCCTAGTTCCAGTAAACTGAATGTGTATAAAGAATATAACAGATGGGCTAGGTTACCAGTAATGCCCATTAGTACTACTTATCCCTGATGTACTTTGGTACATTTACTGGCTGTTTCTTCACCTAGACAACAACTGGCTTGACTAATGTTGTTTAATCAATATGCTTAATATATAAAATGATGTTTTAACTACCTGGGCGTCTGTAGACTGTAGCTCACCCCTGCTCACTGCTGTGTAAACTTGTAAAGCGGAGCAAATAAAAACCACAGTGTTGGTTTTGATAGTTAAGGGTTATAAACACCATAAGGAACATTAATGGTGAAAATAGCAGAGAACAATGATGCGTTAGCCCCCGTATTTATCTGAGGAAGCACGTCAAAAGAAAGCTGAAAAATACTGATGGTTGATGTTTATTTCATTCCGTGATTTCAGGTCCAGTTCTCACCCCCGCTAATAAACCTGTCCGGCAAATGGTAAAAAGTTTTTGTTTAGGATCAGTTTGAATTAATATTGACCGTAGAAATGCAGATAACTGCAGTAACCAGCTGAGAGAGCTACAATGCAAACACCGCAAGCTGAAGGCGAAGGGCTGAACCAAATCCAGAGCAGACGGTTTAATCGGGAGGGGGGGCCATTTAAGAGACAAGGAGCCTAAAACCCGAGCGCTTCAAGAACAGAGGCCCTGAAAAAAAAGAGGCTCTTCAGCTACAGGCAGTATGAAAAAAATACATGTGTTTTTTGAAGCATTAAAACATTAAAACCACTAATTGTAGAGGCCACAAAAAAATACAATTATGAACCTGAAAGGGCCATCAAGTCCTTTTACTTAAAATCTGTATTTATGTCTTGTAGTGTGACTCATGGCATTAATGGTATTCCCTCATGACCAGGGCTGTGACCACACTGAAGTCACACATTTCTTGGTGACAGTCAGTTACGCCGTTCGTACACTCACAGATCCGTACAGCTTTCCTCGCCGGTTCATGGCCACAAAGAGTCCACTGCGAACGCCCAGCAGGGTCACCACTCCTCTCTCCACTGGAGAGATCTGAAGAAGACCTTCAGGGAAAACAAAGCATGCACACTGAAACAGAACGGTCTGATGGAGAGAACCAACATGTGTCCTAGTTGATGAGCCAGATAGACCGTAGCAAAGCTAAAGAATTCAGTTTCTCTCTAATATTGAAGCTGATGGCTCTTAGGCATATAAACATTTTAAACACATTTAGACATTGGTCAACAATTCGATGCTCAATAGCAAATGTGGATTAGTTGTTCCAGGCATGAACATCTAAACACAACACAGGTAATAAACTACAGCTTTGATCGGATCCAAAAAATCCCGCCTAACCCAACCCAAGCCCGAAAAAGTTCTGTGTGAGCCTGGACCACAGAAGCAGTTTTGGGGCCAAGATCAATCCAAACCCTTGAAATAAATAAATAATTAAAACACTTATTAATTAAACTACATTGTGCTTAATTAAGTGCAAATTATTTCAAAACTAATAAACAAACAAACAACAAATCAACTCATTAATTACAGTTGCATGCATTGTTAAGAAGAAATATATATATATTAATATATATTTAAATAAATAAATAAAATTCTGTCTGAGCCTGACTTATGGCATGGCATATGTTGTTTTGGGCCCCAACCTGGCTGGTCATGTCAGGTCCAATCGGGTTCGGGCAAAGAATCAAATCTCTAATCTATACTTATATACAAAGATACACATGGAAATGTGTGGTCTGTGTGGAGTGGGTGAATTCTTACACCCATGACTTACATGAAAGTTAGTGAAATTCTGATGATCAAATTCAATTCTGATGTTTAACCAAGCTATTTTAACCCAGTTTAACTCACAAACTGAGCTTAAGATATACCCAAATATTTTATGAGAAACAGGGCTGAAAATTTGTGGGTTTCAGTAGTCACAAAAAGAGAAAGACTTTTCCTGAGGCTCGCTGTAACAACCAAATAACAGGAGGTAAACAGCATTAAATGCAGACAAATTTAAAGGTTTACTGAACCCCTGCTGATGCAGTTTGTCACTTGGTCTTGACAAGCTGTGTGTGTGTGTCCTTTGTTCCTGCCATCATTTGCTTTACAGTGGCTTGGATGCCTCACAGAGATTTTCTGTAATGTATCTCCCTGAATTTGTATGCCTTGTCTTTAAATAGTACAGAGGAAAAAACAACACGCTGGAAGTTCCTCAAGACAGCTTGTCAGCTCCATCAGAGCAGTATCGCAGTCTCTGTCTTTGTCAGTTGAATATGACACAGCTCGGGATGACAGGGATGACATGTAAGGTAAATACATGTTCGTTGCTCTTCGTGTCTGCAAATGTGACTTTCTGTTGGCCGGACCGCCGGGGGTTAATCTTAACAGATGGGTCTATGCGCCGTGTCCTAACTTTAGGTGCTGGCTGGCCGCTGGCCTGGATCACAGCGGGCTCTGGTTACACACGAGGTGGACAGCACTCAGCACTGTCCTCTAGCACTACGGAAGGACTCCAGATGTTGGTGGATCAATAACTGTTTACTGACTGAGCAGCATCTCAATCAGTGCTGATTGGAGTGGAAAGTAAAGGTCGGATCAGGTGTCAGCAGGTGCTGTATTAGTCAGTGACTGAAAACATTATCTAATAATATGTTTTAATAATTTAGTTCTTATTTATACAAAGCTTATCTCAACTTTAATATTGATTTTGTTATTAATGTTGTTTAAAACCACCTGGGCTATACAGTAAACCAGTTAACCACCAACAAATGCATAAATAATAATTGCTTGTGTCTAATTATATTAATAAATAATTGCTGCAACTTACTGTGACGATTTTCGTTGTGTACTCCCGTTATTCTACCGTCTGGTAACACCTGAATATGAAAGCCGATCCCCACGTTGCAATAGAGGCGCCGTAACCTTTTTATGCCCAGGAGGTAGTCGCTGTCCCGGCTGACCTCCTCCCGCTTCTCCCCCGGGATCCGCGCCAGGGACCGGGAGTAAAGGGCCTCCCAGCGGTCCGCTGTCCCGTTCAGGCCGGGGACACATCCCGCCATTCCGGTCACAAAACCCAGGACCAGGACGGTGCGCAGAGCCGCCAGAGAGCCCATCCCGGGTCTGGCTCTGAAAGCAGCCTCCCGGCGTTTGCCTTTCCAATGCGAGAATAAAAAGAAGCAGCAGCGTGTGGAAGTTGCGCTCATTCCCAGACCGACCGGCGCACTGGCTTCAGCGCCGGAGCGACATTGATCTGCATGGACGCTGTGCAGCCATGCCTCTATATTTATACCTGCAGACACATTACATCACAGCTCCACACTTAGAAGAAACTTACTAAGTACACTTTCACATTCAGGCGTAGCAAACAGAGCCGGGGGCTTTATTGAAATCAAATAATAGCTGTCTTATCTGAGAGCAAAGCCAAGAGTTTTTAGCAAATAAATGAATAAAGGCGTTATTATAATAAAAAACTTCTTTGTGTGAGGCTTTCATTATCAGTAACAGAATATCATAATTTATGTATGGGAGGATGTAAAATAGGAAACGGCCAAGTTAACAGACCGTGGTGTCGGGCAGGAGACAGTTCTATAAATGAACAATAACAGGAAAAAACACAGGTCCAATTCAACCAAATGAAAAAAGCGCTAACTTAAGACTGGAAGAAGGGAAATCATGCCCCGGGCCCTTATAGAACACAATGGCAAGACTAAATAGAGAGTTTACAGCATGATAAGTAGCCTGTCATTGTTGGCCAAGACATTACACAGTTCTGACGTTACAACTGCAACATTTGTCAAGTTTGTCAACTGTCATACTGTATGTGTCAATAGACCATGTATCATAGTGTCCGTTTCTGTAGTAAAATAAATAAACCTTGCATGGCATGTTAAAATATATTTAGGTTATTGTTTAAAGGAAATACCTATTAAAGAATTTATCTTAATCCTTAAAGACACATAGGTTTAGCGTACTCCTTAATTCAAACAGCCTAAAATTTGTTTTGTTTATTTCTTCTTATTTTTCAGACAAATCTCTGTTTTTTATTCAGGGATGTTGTGGACCTTCAGACCTGTAGGCAGAATCAAGAAAGGTAGTATCAAATTGATTTAATATATTTGTTTTTAACATTCAAATACTTCTCACACGAACAGATTTGTGTTGAAATGAGTTGCTGTTTAAATGATGATGGTGTCATGGCAGCACGTCTTTGATGTGTTATCCTTGACAGTCTTTCAGGTGCACTGGTGCATTGCTTTGGATGTCCATTGAAATAAACCGAACTAAACAGCTTACCCTCCCTTTATTTAAGCATTTCATTATCCCTCTTAAATCTATGTTGAACAACAACATTTACCCTCTCTGCTGAGTGTCCCATTATTTATCTTTATGTTGAGAACTGAAGGGTCTTCCCGCCACAGCAAAGACACAGTCCTATGATCTCTGGGGTGGCTCGGTCCTTCTACTCATTGACCACGCATGACATGTTTTCTCACGTTCACATTTGGCTGATCTTCAATGTATGACAGCATTGTTTCTGAATGCAGTCAGATCTTAGAGGCAATCCTGTGATGTTGAGGCCCCTGGTAGATGACTACCAAGCCCCAAAATTGCTGACATACCAGCGAACCAACAGGGCCCAGTCTGGTGGACCAAAGGACCTTCAGAAAGGATGGCCCAAAAGAACAGCCAGTGGTCCATCAAACCTCTGCTGACAAGGACCAGCATAAGGGCCATCATATAAAATCAATCAACCCCCAGGACTACTGATGGACTGCTGGACCTGCAGGACTACTGATGTACTTCTGGACCTTCAGAACAGCTGATGGACTGCTGGACCTCCAGGAGAACTGATGTACTTCTGGACCTTCAGAACAACTGATGGACTGCTGGACCTCCAGGAGAACTGATGTACTTCTGGACCTTCAGAACAACTGATGGACTGCTGGGCCTCCAAGACAACTGATGGACTGCTGAGCCTCCAGGATAAATGATGTACTGCTGGACCTTCAGGACAACAGATGAGAAGCTAGACCTCCAGAAAAACGTATGGACCTCTGAGCTCAAGTGTGGCGGTAAGGCTAATCGATCACATCACCTTCAGAAAACAGAATTGCTGACATACCATCAAACCTTCAGGAAAACTGAAGATTGACGGACCTCTGCACCACCAATATCCTAGATGGCTGAAAATCCATCAGGCCTCCAGGACAGCTGATGAGGTTTTTGATCACCAGGATAATTGGACCATTATGTTTCTCTAAAGTGGAGGGCCACTGAACCTCCTGGGTAGCTGGTAGACCACTCGACTTATAGGAGCCAGGTAATTTGGCTGACCACATGATTGCCAGGACAGCCTCATCTGGCTGGTTCAGTGCTCCAATGAAGATCTGGCAATGTATGTGAGCCATGCAGACCAGCAGGTGCAGTGCTGTTGCTGTCCGTGGTTCTGTAATCTCTTTCTATCACTTTCAAAAGAAAATATGTTAAGATGTTTCCCTCCAGTCATGTGGAAATTTGTAAATTATGTACAGCTTTATTTTTTGTTTATGTTGTACTGAAGCCATTGTGGTTTTAGGTTGCATGTGTGCAATGAATTATGCTGAGGGAAAGAGGTTTTAGATTTCACTGGGTGACAGCTGCAATACAGAGCTTAAAATGTCTCAACAGCATTCGTTTGCTCACTTGTTTATGTATCATTTTCAAACCTCTGCATCTTCTTGTAATACATAAATACAGGACAATGACAATGCCTTTTGAATTTACTTTTAGTCAAACAGTATTATCATTGTTTGTTTGTTTTTTGCCTCAAGCATGTTTTCTAAATAAAAAACAACTTTAAAAGTAAGAACCTTCAAAAAAAAAGTTACTTTCCAAGACTGAAAATATGTTGTACATACCGTGAATAAATCTTCTAAATGTTGTGCTCATGACAACTTAATTCAGTCATTATTAGGGCAGAATTCAACCCATTATTTCTTTGAGTCACAATTTATTTGGATAGTCTGCCCAGTATTTGAAACATTTTTACTGTTTGGCTTTGTCTTTAGATATTTATCTATAATTAGTATTATGTGACAATTCATTAACATACCCTAAGCAAGCAAGTTTGTTTTGCCTAAACCTAACCAAACCTTAACCACAGTGGTGTAATATCAAGTTTAATCTCAACTAATTGTCCTTTTCCTTGTTTCTTGCCCTCATTCCTTTTATTCCAGCAGTAATAGTTAGCAGCTACTGAAAAACAATAACACAGTTAAACCACCCAGTGTATCAGACACTAAACATTCATCTTTTCATATAGCAACATGGGTTCCTGTCACACACGTGAAACGTGCCCTACCTCCTAGTGAATGTGTATATCCAGTGTCATGTTCTATATATCCAAACAGAGGAGGAGCGATGTTTTTTCTGATATTGTTGTCACAGTACAGTTGGATGCTGGCCAGCTAGACAGCTGTCACTGAACTGCTGTCACACTGGATTCAGTAAGTGACTTGTACTGGTTAATTTGTCTACATTACGCAATTCCCTGTGGAAAATTGGCAACATGATGAGTAAAAACCGGACATTACTTCTACTGAGCTTTTATTGCCAGATACTGTCTTTAGAAGGTTTTATGTAAAATAGTGTATTATCCAGGCTTATAAAGGCAAGACATTCATTCAGTAATATTCAGATTATTGGTGTACATATAAGCAACATTGGAAACACATCCACTGAGTGAAATCTCAGTTTGTAATTGTGTTTTATTGTCCTTCAGCTGAGCTTTTGCAAACCGAATATTTTCATTAATCATTTTGATGTGGGTTGAAACATCACTTAAGTCAAACAGAATCGCCTTTTTTATATTGTGTTACTACTACAAACTCTGAAAGGATTGGATATGTCTCGTGTTTACTGGCTGCCTGCAGAGGGCATTGAACAGCTCTGCCAAACTGAGACAGTCAGATTAGATGCACATTAACATGAGGCAACACGGCCACCAGTGTCTGGAAGAGAGACAGCTGTCTGCCTCTAGGGGTCACTATTTACAAATGAACATTCACAAATGTACTGCAGTCACCTGCTATGAGCTCGGAGACCATGTTTAAAACACCATTCTACTTGTATAATACTGTTTTACCTCTGTATTCCCCTCTCATGCCACCAGAATACTGAAAAACTGAAAACTTGAACTCAACATAATTCTCTCTGGTAAACATTAATCTATTGTTATATACATGTAACATGAAGATGATAGTGTAGCATTTATATTATTTATAGTAACTTGTATTAAAGAAAAAAGTGTGTGCACCCAGAGTGAAAGAAAAAGTGTTTCTCAAATGGGGGGTACTTAAATTATCAGTAATGCATAATTCCTAAAATAATAATATCGTAAGTTCAGTATATAATGTAATTTAAATGCCATCTTAGTGTTATTGCATGAAGACACAAACTTCTTTACCATAAATTTGAAATGAAGCCTTTAACAGTTTTTTTTTAATAAATCAAACACTGATGGTGCACTGCTATATTGTACCACATATTTTGCTCAGTCAGGCGGTACTTGGCTGAAAAAATAAATTTCAAAGGGGTACATTAATTTAAAATGTTCAAGGGCCCCTCTTCTTAGGCCCCCCCTTTTAAACAATTTATAAGTAGTAAATCACATCTTTATTATTGGTTTATTACTAATTTACTGGTGTTTTACAGATAATTTATAAGCTTTTAGTAAGACCATCTTTTTAGGTTCAAAGGATTGTGAATCATTTTGGCTGCTGTTTTTATAATGTTGACAATACATTAATAAATGCAGTCTGGCAGCCCAATTTAAATTATCTATTTACCTTTTATATGCCAGTTGTTACAAATTGTAAGCCTTTATAAAGAGGCTGTAAGATTTTTACACCTAGAAGAACAGAATTAATTCTCATCTTACTGAACCTGTGGATCCTGTGTTCAAAATGCTCTCTAAGGAATCCTTATCCCTGAACCCATCAGCCCAGCAGATATTGCGGATGAATGTGGTTTTTAATGCCCGGCTGATAAATCTTCAATGGGATGTCACAGATATTTCTATCTGTGCATGAATGGAAGAGTCAGAAGATACATGTTGCTAAATAAACTAGACAGGCAGGGAGAGGGGCCACAAAAGGCCCTAACCTCTCTGCAGTCCAGAATTCCTGTTGAGTAATATGAGTTTGACATTCATAAGAAGCCATAGCAAGTTGTTACACTTTGTATGACACAGTTTCTGCTTTCAGGAGGGCCTGCCTTGTTTATCGACTCTGTGGCTTTTGGTCGGCGTTTCAAAAAAAATCCCAAAAGTCTCAGGCGGCATCGCTTCCCAGGCCCCCCTTGGGAGGAGCTATTGTTCGGGCCAGGAAGCCTCCCCAGCCCGCAGGTATAGAATGACAAGGCTTTATATGCAGCTACCTATAGATGGGAGTGAGGCAAGGCTAAACCTGAACATCCAAAAGAGTCCAAATGTTGCTTGTGATGAATTTTACGTTGATGGTTGTCTTTGTAGTTTGTGCTCGGCTGTGTTGCAGCAACAGGTGTGGTACTTTAACAAATGAGCCGCAGCGGGGCGAGAGGATTAATATCACATGTACACTCAAATGTAGTTCTCTCCTTAAGGGATTCTTAATTTAATCCTACAAATCATTGTTGAATTATATGTGTTTTAGTACTAAAAGGGACTAAGAAACTATGAAATAATCATTAGGTTTACAATACTGACAGTATCACAGCTGTTGTGATATTATATGTAAAACTGGTCTCAAAAAGTGCAATTTTGAGGTACTTGTATTTTCCACTGTATGTTACTTTCACTCCACTATATGTCAAAGGGAAAATATAACTATTAACTTCACTATATTTATCTTAGTTTAATTTCAAATTTCAAATTTAGATCATTTGATGATTAACATTTTAGATACAAAATGACCAGTTTAGGAAATATGATGTATTGTTATACATGTAACAATTCATATTAATGAGTTAAATACTAAAAAAATACTTAATACTGTGCTTTTACTTCAATTACATTTTTTTTAACGCAGGATTTTTACTTGCAGCCGAATGTTTTTACATTTTTGTATTGTAATGGGTCTGGGTAAAAGTCCTGTTATTTACTCTTTTTTACCCATTTGTCAAAATGTTTCCGGTCTTCAAAGAACTGCGGCTGACATAACAGAAGAAACAAAAACTGAAACAGAGAATTCATCATCTCACATACAGTATAAAATGTTTGCCACAGAAAAATCTCAATTTACAATTATGAGCTTAATTTAACTTTAAAAACAGATTTTGTTTCACTTTGAGAGAATAATGTATCTTGAATGGTAAATGATTCCACTGCTGCATTTACCGCTCTACTAAACCACAAAAACATGTCTTCTTTTCAAGAGAAAATTATATGATTCGAGGTTTGGCTGTAAAAACAAATCAAAGAAAAGTGGGAAGAAACAAGCCAGCAGTTTCCTTGGGTCAGTACCATTGTGTTTTATGTTGGAACCAGGTGGTGAGTGGAAACAAACAGCAACATAATGCAGAAATAATCTTATGAATAACTTACAACACAGGCAACAAATAAATATTCATATCATTAGTACAATATACAAAGTACATCTTTAAGTTTACAGACAGTAGACTATCACATTGTAAGAATGTTGCAAAAATATTAACAGGATCTTGTCTCGCACTCAGTGTCCCTCTGCTTCTTAATGTGAATCTGACTAAAAGTGCTTTGCTGTGTAAAGTCCTCTCTTCAACAACCATCGTGTTTGTAAGCACTTCAAGATAGCAAAATATTTCACAAATGCAAAGCAGTAGAGTCACTGTACATGCATAGTGCATACTGTATTTACAATAATAGCTCTGTGTGAAGTTGATGGTAAAATGATTTCTTGTACCAAAGTATAACTCTTTACAAAGATGGAGCCTTTCAACTACTTATATGATTTGTTTAAGACAGTAGCATTATGAAGAAGTCAGGCCTCAGTAAATAAAAGATGTTACCGCTGTGTGTGTGTGTGACAAAGTCTCTCTGATATATGTGCCCCAACGCTTGTTGTGGCCCCATCTTTCCTTCTTCCTTCTATGGATTTTTTTCCGTGCATCAACAACAAAAACTTCCAGAAGGCAGGATCCAACAAGTTGTTTTTTTTCTTCTGTTGCAATCAAGCTACAGCAGGCTATGTGCCAAGATTAGGGGTCCATGTTTGGATGAGTCATAGGGCCACAGCTCCCTCTTCTAAAAGTCTCCTCAGTCATCTTGCCTTCGGCCCTGGCCTTTCCTGGCACGGTGCCGGCGTCTCCGGTGCTCACCGCGGTTGCTGCTGTGGTGGTGGTGCGTGTGGTGGTGCGCACTCTGACTGTCTCTCAGCCGCCTCACCATGTCATGGTCCTTGTTGCCCAGCACCCGAGGCAGGAAAAGTGAGGCTTTGTCCGTGCTTCGGGTTTTAAAACCTCGCCGCGGCCGGCCTTTGCCATTAATGGAAACATACCACTGCCGCTTGGCGCTGGCTCGCCGCTTGCTGCTGCTACCGCCCCCTGGTGGCAGTGGCTGCTCCGTGGAATGGTGGCGGGACGCGTAGGTGTTGTACCCCAACTCATGGATTCGCTCCACAAACTCACACTCTCTGGTGAACACTTCCTGGGGGGATGAGAAGGAAGGAAACAGTGAGCCACATTTATCCTGCAGCCTGCCATACGTTTTTGATTAACAGGGCAGCCCCTTAAACACGTTGCAAGTCATTCCGCCCGGCCGACGGCCACCACTATCTGACACCAGATCAGTCCTAAAATGATACAATTTACATGAACACGTAAGGTGACAGCAGATAAACACTGCAGCATGAAACCAAATCGTCCTGTCTCGTCATATGTGAGGCCTTTAAAGTGCCACCTCTGGGCTAGTTTCAAACAGGAGCTGTATGAGCACACAGAAGGTGACACATTAGATGATGAGATGGAATCTGTACCCACCGAGGCATACAGCCGGCCTTTGTCGTTCATGGCCAGATATCTGCCAGAGAAAAGCCCTTTTATGGCCACAACACCCACATCCACGGCTGTGATTTCCATGATGCCTGCAACACACAGAAACACACTTAAATGTAACATATGGCTGTTTAATATGACATTCATTCTAGTTAAAGATTAACTTTTTGTCTCTAGATGTATTAATCACTCCACTAATGAATCCACAAAATAAAACATGCAAATCAAGTTCACTCTTAACTAAACAAACCTTTAAAGTAAATTAATTTCCGGTTGTATTTGCCACCTCGCGCCGCCCAATTCAGAGCGTTTATTGGCTTTTTTTAATCAGTGCTTGATTAGTCAATAGCCTATTGAGCGCTGTAGAAAGCCTCTAATGGCCGTTGATTAGATAAATACATCCGTTAGGACAGCGCCTTTGTCCCGCCTGGATGTTAATACTTTGGCTGATACTTCTAATAGAGATTAACCTGCATGTCGGCACACAACACACACACACACACACACACACACACAGAAGTCAATAGCGTACCACGGACGCGCTCCACTGAGTAACTGACAGTGAAACTCTGATAGATCCTGATAGATTAATCATATCAGAAGATTGACACAAACACATAAACAACATCATAAACAAATATACTGATTACTTCACCTTTTTAATATATATAACCTATATATAACCTATAGGCCTATTTAAAACATTATTTAATTACTAAAATTTAATTAGTTTTATTTATTTCAACCAATCTGAATGAAAACGTGTAATTTAGCAACTTGAATTTAACACTTTGAATCAAACCATCCTTTCCACAGAAAATAAACCACATCGTGTCACATCATTTGTTATTATCATGTTTATATTTGTCTATAATAGTTTTGCCTGTGTTGGTGCGTAAAACCAAGTGAATACTCACTTAACGGGTTGTTTTCCTCCAGTGAGCCATCTATTTTCCCGTTAGGATGGATTTGTAAATGGTATTTAGTAGCGCAGTAGAGTTTCCTGCGTCTCGGCGCTCCTCCGAGGTGTTCATACACTCCTCCGCGGCCCCCGGCATCCCTCCGCTGCCGGGGGTCACAAGTCTGGCTCCGGTCGCAGCTGGCCCGGGGACTAACGGGATCCAAAAGGCTCAGCAACACCAGCAGAGGTATCATCAGCATTGTGACATGGCCAGGAAGCAACTATTTTGGCGAAAAAACCGAAAACTCCTGCCCGGCTCTCGGGGTCCCATTAAAGTCTCGGGGCCCCAACGCTCCAGAGCTCCAGCCTTGCGCACATCCGAGCCAGAGAGACACCGCTGACAGCACAGCCGCCCCCGAGGTAGGATCCGCTCCACGCCTCTGCTGCTGCTGCTGGAAATCCCTCCTGCGAGTCTGACTGAGAGCCTGTGCTCAGACTGAGAGCAGATATAAAAGAAGCTTGTGGCGACAATAGGCTGAACTCCGACCAATTGATACAAAGGAAAGGGGGAGGCAAAAGGTATCAGCCCTGTGTGAAGTGAGAGACTGCGGCGTGGATAAAATTACACAGTGGCTGAGTGCGGAACAGCTCTCTCCTCTGAACTCCTCTTCAGAAATATCCTGAATGAGTAATTAGACATCCCAAATTATACAGGCGGGCTGAGCCAGCGCCAGGGACTGCGACAGGTGAGAAATAAGACTGTTGCTGGATGTCATGAACCTACCTTAACTTTTAAAACAACTGTACAAAGTACAAAGGAATTTATTTTACTGTTGGATTCAGACATTTCTCCTCATTCTCTTGTATTTATCTGCCAAATTTCTGCTAGTTTAAGAAGTTTTCTGAAATAACAATAATGTTATGGACTTTTGGGAGGTCCACATCTACTTGAAGTATAAATATTAACCCCCATCAACAGGTGCTTTCTAAGCCAGCCCATCATGACAGGCTGAGGTCAATACAATAAAAAAAAATTGTAATTTGCCTTAAATCAGAGCTCCCTGCTGCCAGCACAGTCCTGCTCAGATCCACAGAGTTCTTCCAGAACTAGTTGACAATTAAGCCGCCACTGCAGGTAAACCTCAAACCTCTTCATTCAGCAGTTAAAAGTTCACAGCCTTTTTTGTTTTCAAGGATTTATACACTCCTTCCTCCTCCTGACCTGTAAGCTCTGCCAGCTACTGCTAATGGTCAAAGTTAGATTAAGAAAAAGAGACAAATGAATGGTCTGTCACAGGGGCTTCCTCCATGTGCCACAGAACAGCTCTCCTGTGCGTTATTCTTTATCCTTCACACAAGCAATGGTTTGTCCCAGACTTTTCCCATCCTAATGCCCCGGCTCTGGTGAGGCAGCAGCCGGTGGGCGGAAGAGCAGCAGGCTAAATGACTACTGCCTAAATTGCTTCCATCTTGGTCACATTATGGTTTGCATTCTGGTAATTAGCACCATCATCTACAAATCTCTCTGCCCTTTGGCGCTGCTCCACTGCTGCTATGAAGGTCTCTGCTGAGAATCCCCCAGAGAGTCGATGGTTAATTTGTCTTCCCCTCCCATACATCACCCAGCTAGCTGCCTCTGTCACTTTATTTACCCCGGTGATCAGAAAAAGGCAGCTCTTTTAATTACAAATGTGTGCACATTATGTCTCTGAGACCTCTTGCAACTCAGACAGCCCACCAAAACATCAGCCGGGCCGTGTGTATCAGAGGTTGTTCTGGTGGCCATTTCTAAGTGAGACGCTCTTGATGTGGTTAAATGCTGGAAGAGGGTGGAACCTCAGATGTGGTGTGCTGTTTCTCTCAGAAACTATTTTAATTATGCTCCCCTCCACGCCGCCCACAAAGCATCCCAGCAATAAGCAGGGCAAACGCTCTCAATTTGTGATGCACACGTGCAAACACACACACACACACACACACACACACATCTTAACATTAGAATAAGTGTGTTGTTGTTTTAAAATTTTTAAGGTTAGAATTCCAGTTATGAAACAGTGCTAAATCTAACTTTTAGGCCTCATTCAGGTCTTGTCTCCAGATGCATTTGAGCAGGATTGAAGGGTTAGGGTTAGCCCCATTTTTGACCTCAATACTCGGTCGCTCCCTACACAAACCTTGGTGGAAAAGTCCAAACTGTATATTTTCAGCAGTGGGTTGCATCTTCAAAGATTTTCATGATCTTACAGATCTACTTCCTGCTGAGTGTTATAAAATGTTTGCCTCGGCTGAGTCCAGCATTTAAATATACAAACTGTGCCACTCTGTTGTGCTTGTGTTCTTTCCTGAAACGTTGCACAGATCGCAGCAGCAGCCAACATAGTCTGTAGAAACTTTGGTTTCAGCCTGGGAAAGCATTTTTCTCTCTGTGGGGACACAGAGACACCTTTAACGATTTTCCCTCCAATGTAATTTCTGCCACTTAAGGCGTCTCTCACATCAAAACAATAACAAAAATGTATGTTTGATGATGTGGTAAAGTAGTGGTTCTATGTATCCATCTCTAATATACTATATGTATATATATCATATCTTCTTCCTCCCATGAGATGTATAGCACATCATGATTCATGGCATTAAAGTGCATGTCTTATCTCTATATATATGGTATTCTATATATATATATCTATTACTATTATCTCTTTGTTCTGTATTTCTATCATTTTTATATCTATGTTCTTACGGTCATTTAGTCTTTTTGTATTTTTTTAGGAGACAAGATTTTCCATGTTTCCTATGTGAAAATGTTGTTGATCTTATTTATTTTCAGTTTCATACGTTATATGTGACTTCGCTGAAAGGAGTGGGAGTTTTACATTGGTATGTGTGAAAAGTTGGATCCATATATTCCATTCTTCTTAGGGATGTGTAAATTTTCACGTCATCGCCCAAGGTGGCGCTCTTTAAATGAGAGAATTTATGATTCTGCATCGGCATGTGTGATTAAAACGAAACTTACGATGCGTTGCACATGGCTTCCTTGATGCTCTCTATAAGAAGTGGGTCGAACAGTCTGTCCACTAGGTGGCAGGGTAAATCACATGCATAGAGACTGCGATGTTATGAATATGAAGATTCACAGGGCATTCGTGTAGACTGTTTGCCTGAAGCTCGCATTACCATAATCGTGTTTGTCGTGTTTTGTACGCTCTCCTTCAGTGGATTTTAATAAAATCAGCCCGGCACTCACGTTTGCTTCCAAATTATATGGAGAACGTCGGTAGGCAGTGTCAGGTGCTGTGATGTACAGAATGAAGCCTCTTGGGACCCAGTACCCCAAAGCCCCACGAAATTTGGCCCATGGTGTTTGATTTTGCTTCTGTCTGCGTTTCGGAAACTTGGGTTTCGCCTGTGTATTTCGCCTTGTACGGTCGCTCCTAGGGATATTCATCGGATCTTACTTAGGCGATCAGTCAAAGTATGTTGGCTGATCAAAATTGGTTGCTTTTGTGTTCTTTTTTATGTGTAGTTGAAGGGTGTCGTGGTCATTCCGTCATGTTGGATTTTTATGTGAGTCATTTTCTGTGATTTTTCGTGTTGTATTTGGACGACTCCTCCGTAGGGAATTTATGTTATCTGCTGTATAATGGTCAGTACAGTTAAAGTTGCTTTGCTGATTAAATTGTGCTATTTTGTGCATGTAGTTGAATGTGGGTTGTTGTGGCGTGCCGTCAAAGGTTGCCAGGTTTTGAATCGAATGTCTAAACTGTGTGCATTTCTGCATTTGAGGGCTTCTGTTTTAATACTACCAGTTGACTTCAGAATTCGATCACTGCAATCTAACACATTGGTGATCAAAAGTTGGTTGCTATTTTGTGACTGTACATTTAAACGTGTGCCCGTGACGACGTGTCGAATTCCATCTCGTATTTGGCCGATAAAACAGATAGTACTCGTATTCGTCAGTGTTAAGGTCCCACCCTGATACACATTCTCACAACTTCATGTGTACATGGTCCAATCTTCAATGGAACTTTCACACGTTCGATAACAGTCCCGCCCTGAACACGTCTACATGACGTAATATTGGAGTATATAGTGATTAGCACTCCCTTACTGGCAAGCAGGAAGTAGCCTGTCGGGCAACTTT